AGACAGTCTGACAGTGAGCTGTTTAACCCCTAGTGCAGTGAGACAGTCTGACAGTGAGCTATGTAACACCTAGTGCACTGAGACAATCTGACAGTGAGCTATGTAACCCCTAGTGCACTGAGACAGTCTGACAGTGAGCTGTTTAACCTCTAGTGCAGTGAGACAGTCTGACAGTGAGCTATGTAACCCCCAGTGCACTGAGACAGTCTGATAGTGAGCTGTTTAACCCCTGGTGCAGTGAGACAGTCTGACAGTGAGCTATTGAACCCCCAGTACACTGAGACAGTCTGACAGTGAGCTGTTTAACCCCGAGTGCAGTGAGACAGTCTGACAGTGAGCTGTTTAACCCCCAGTGCAGTGAGACAGTCTGACAGTGAGCTGTTTAACCCCTCGTTCACTGAGACAGTCTGACAGTGAGCTATGTAACCCCCAATGCAGTGAGACAGTCTGCCAGTGAGCTGTGTAACCCCTAGTGCAGTGAGACAGTCTGGCAGTGAGCTGTTTAACCCCTAGTGGACAGCAAGAATCTGATAATGCTCTGTTTAACTGTTTGGTATCGGAAGAGCCTCCTGTCTGAACTGCTTAACCCCACATGTACAAACACTGTCTCACAGTGAGTTGTTAAATCCCTTTGTACCAGAGATACCTTTCCCAGTGGTCATCCACTATTCCAATCTAGTGGCACATTCTTCCTCAATTTGGATGGCCCTTGAACATCCATCATTGTGGTACAACAAGAGGCCATTCATCCTGTGTTCGTCAAACAGTTGTCCTTGACCATATTTAATGATTAGAGTTCATAGTAAGTGCAAATAAAAGGATTTTCCGATCCATTTTTGTGCTGGGTGTTTGCAACAGTCTAGAACTGGTGAGGTTTTGCTGGGCTTCCAGGGGGTGGGAACGGTCACCGTCGATCTTACAGCTGGTGGGATGGCAACAGGTTTAGCCCACGACACTGTGGGAGAGGTAACTGAGCAGGCCACGGATACCTCGATAGGGATGAGGTTAAAGATTCAGCAACTTTTAGGCCTGACAGGTAATTTCGAGAATCACCGTGGGATATGTGAGGCTCAGTTCAGGAAGATTCTGATGTCCTTATGGTGGATGTCCTTCTGTTACATCTGAGCACGCCACCTGACTGGCTGTCTTGTCTGTTTTCTCCACAGCCGATCCAGTAGATGTTTTACAAGTGTTGCAGTTTAACAGGTTACCTGAAGGAGTAAGGACGACCACAGGCTTCTGTCCCAAAAGGAAATCTGCCTCCAGCGCAGATGTGGCTTACAGAATATCCAAAAAGGCTCAAATCAGCGCCCCCACCAAACAGCTCTTCCCAGGTAAGGAGGATAGCACTGAGCATGCTGGGAAACTGGAAGACCTTTGCGCAGTGTCTGAAGATGCAGGTGCAGAGGAAGGGGAAAAGCTTTAACTAATGATCGGAGGCAACTATTTTTTCTACAGTAACCAGTACTTGCAGACTGGTGATTGACCATGGCCCTCTCACCCCATCATCCAGACTCACAGAGTGATAGTCTTTGGGCTGTATCCATGAATGCCGAATCCATGTGCTGTGGGTGTTTGAATCTGACAAGTGCTGCTTTTTGTCTGTTCCAGAATGCTAAGGGCTTAAGTAGAAAGCGACGTGTGGTCAAGTCGGGATTTGTTGGGTGGGAGATGATTTGTTGTAAAAGTTGGTTATACAAACATAGCAACATAGACGATAGGAGCAGGAGGAGGCCCTTTGGCCCTTCGATACTACAGCGCCATTCTTCACCATCATGGCTGATCGTCCAACTCCATAATCCTGATTTCTCTCCATAAACTTTGATCTCATTCGCTCCAAGTGCTATATCTAGCCGCCTCTTGAATGCATTCAATTATTTGGCATCACTGCTTCCTGTGGTAATGAATTCCACAGACTCACCACTCTTTGGGTGAAGAAATGTCTCCTCATCTCCGTCCTAAATCGTCTATCCGGAATCCTCACACTGTGACCCCTGGTTCTGGACACACCCACCATCAGGAACATCCTCCCTGCATCAACCCTGTCCAGCCCTTTTGGAATTTTATACGTTTCTATGAGATCCCCCCTCATTTGACTGAACTCCAGCGAAAATAATCCAAACCTAGTCAATCTCTCCTCATATGTCAGTCCCGCCATCCCTGGAATCAGCCTGGTAAACCTTTGCTGCACTCCCAGACAGCAACAGCATCCTTCCTCAGAAAAGGAGACAAAAACTGCACACGATATTCCAGGTGTGGTCTTGCCAAGGTCCTGTATAACTGCAGCAACTCATCCCTGCTCATGTACTCAAAACCTCTCGCAATGAAGGCCAACATGCCATTGGCCTTCTTTACCACATGCTGCACCTGCATGCTTACCTACAGCGACTGGTGCACAACAACACCCAGGTCCTCCTGCACACTCCCCCTCTCCCAATTTACAGTCATTTAGGTAGTAATCTGCCTTCTTGTTTTTGCTTCCAAAGTGAATAAGCTCAGATTTACCAAATTATACTACATCTGCCATTGATTTGCTCTCTCACCCAACCTGTCCTGATCATGCTGAAAAATCTCTACACCCTCGTCACAGTTCACCCTCCCACCAACTTGGTATCATCTGCAAACTTTGCGATGTTACAATTTGTTTCCTCATCCAAATCATCAATATATACTGTGAATAGCTGGGATTCCAGCACTGATCCCCGTGGCACCCCACTAGTTACTGCCTGCCAATTTGAAAAGGACCCATTAATTCCTACTTTTTGTTTCCTTTCTGCCAATCAGTTTTCTACCCATCCCAATACACTTCCTCCAATCCCATGCACTTTAATCATGGATAATAATCTCTTATGTGGGTCTTTGTCAAATGCTTTCTGAAAGTCGAAATAAACTACAACGACTTGCTCCCTTTGTCGACTCTACTCGTTATATCTTCATAGAATTCCAACAGATTTGTCAAGCATGATTTCCCTTTCATAAATCCATGCTGACTCTGTCTGATCCTGCCACTCCTTTCTAAATGCTCCGCTATAAAGACCTTGATAATGGATTCGAGAATTTTCCTTACTACTGATGTTAGGCTTCCTGGTCTACAATTCCCTGTCTTCTTTCTACCTCCCTTTTTGAATATTGGAGTGACATTAACTACCTTCCAATCTGCAGGGACTGTTCCAGAGTCTATAGAATCCTGGAAGATGACCACCACTATCTCTAGAGCCACTTCTTTAAGTACTCTGGGATGTCGATTATCTGGCCCTAGGGATTTATCCGCCTTCAATCCCATCAATTTTCCCAGCACCATTTCTGCACTAATATTGATCTCCCTCAATTCTCCCCTCTCACTAAATCTTGCATTCTCCAACATTTCTGGTGTCTGATTTGTGTCCTCTTTTGTGAAGACAGAACCAAAGTATGCATTCAGTTGTTCAGTCATTTCTTTGTCCCCTAATATACATTGCCCTATTTCTGTCTGTTGGGGACCTACATTTGTCTTCACCAATCTCTTTCTCTTCATGTACCTATAGAAACTCTTAGTGTCAGTCTTTATGTTCCCTGGAAGCTTACTTTCGCACTCAGTATTTTCCCCTTCTTATCAATCCCTTGGTCCTTCTTTGCTCCTCAGACATATTACTTTTCTTGGGCACTCTGTATGCTTCTTCCTTGGATCAGATACTAACTTTAATTTCCTTTGTAAGCCATGGATTGGCCCTCTTACCCATTCTGCTTTTGCGCCAGACAGTAATAAACAGTTATTGCAATTCCCCCGTGCATTCCTTGAATGTTTGCCATTGCCTATCCACTGTCATCCCTTTAAGTAACTCTCCCTAATTTTTCAAGGCCAACTCACACCTCATATCTTCATAGTTTCCTTTATTAAGAGTAAGTTATCTGACAGCATCATGTGTCACTGAGCTCTCTCTGTTTAACCCTCTTCACTCAGTGACTCTCCCTCATCCCTGTCACACACTGATTCTGCCCTTGTCCCTATAACCACTCCGAGATTATCTCCTGTACCTATGGTTACTGACTGACTCTTCCCTTAGAACACAGAACATAGAACAGTACCACACAGGAATGGACCCTTTGGTCCACAGTGTTGTGCCAAACATGATGCCAAATTAAACTAATCCCTTCTGCTGGCCCTTGGTCCATATCACTCCATTCCTCGCATATTCATGTGCTTATCTAAAGGTCCCTTAAATGTCCCTACTTTATCTGCCTAAACCACCATCCAGGCAGTGTTGCAGACTCCTACCACTCTCTGTGTAAAGAAACCTGCCCCTCACATTTCCTTTGAACTTCCGCCCCACCTTCCCTCACCTTAAATGTCTGCCCCCTAGCATTAGAAGTTTTAGCTCTAGGAAAATACTAATCTATGTGGCTACTAAATAATCCTTTCTTGTCACTCACTGACCCTTTCCTTATCTCTATGGTCACTGAGCAGGACTGATGAAATGACCCCTTCTCTTCTCCAGGAGGCACTCGATTCCCTGAAGACTTCTCTATCATGGCACTGGTGAAACCAAAGGCTGGAAACCAGGCTTTCCTGCTGTCCATCTACAGTGAGCAAGGCATGCAGCAGGTGGGAGTGGAGCTAGGCCGGTCACCTGTCTTCCTGTATGAGGACCACAGTGGGAAGCCTGCACCCGAGGACTACCCCATTTTTGGAGGCATCAATCTCTCAGATGGAAAGTTAGTAGATGGGACTGCTCTGTGTGTTTGTGTGTCTGTGTTTGTGTGTATTGGTCCCTGTGCTTTGTGTGTGCGTCGGTGTGTGCATCAGTCCCTGTGCTGTGTGTGTGTGTGTGTGTGTGTGTGTGTGTTTGTGTGTGTGTCAGTTGGTTCCTGTGCTTTGTGTGTGTGCAATCAGTCCCTGTGCTTTGTGCGCGTGTATCTGTTTGTGTCTATCAGTTCATGTGCTACATGTGTGCATCAGTTCCTGTGCTTTGTGCATGTGTCTCTGTTGTGTGTCAGTTCCTGTGCTTTGTGTGTGTGTGTCTGTTTGTGTGTATCAGTTCATGTGCTATCTGTGTGCATCGGTTCCTGTGCTTTGTGCACGTGTCTCTATGTGTGTGTGTGTGTGTGTGTGTGTTTATGTGAGAGTTCCTTTGCTTTGTGTGTGTCTCTATGTGTGTCTTTATCAGTCCCAGTGCTTTGTGTGTGTGAATCAGTCCATATGCTTTGTGCGTGTATGTACCATTCTCTGTGCTTTGTCTGTGTGTCTGTGTATATCGGTCCCTGAGCTTTGTGCGTGTGTGTGTGTGTGTATGTGTGTGTGTGTGTATCAGTCCCTGAGATTTGTGCATGTGTGTGTGTGTGTGTGTGTGTATCAGTCCCTGAGCTTTGTGCATGTGTGTGTGAGTGTGTGTGTGTGTCAGTCCCTGAGCTTTGTGCATGTGTGTGTGTGTGTGTGTCTGTCTGTGTGTGTGTGTGTGTGTGTGTGTCTGTGTGTGTGTGTCTGTGTGTGTGTGTGTGTCAGTCCCTGAGCTTTGGGTTTGTGTGTGTGTCAGTCAGTCCTCCTGCTTTGTGTGTGTGTGTGTGTCTGAACCAGATCAGTTACAATACTGATATCCTGCTTTTCATTGGGCTGGGTTCCTGACCATATCCTCTCCATTGCTAAGACCACCTATTCCCATTCCTGGATGATTGTCCATCTCAGTGTTCATCTCAGTGCATCTACTACTGAAACCTTCATCTGTGCCTTTGTTACCTCCAGGCTTGACAACTATAAGCTTCTCCTGCCTGTTCTCCCATCTTTTGCAAAAATTCATCTCAAACTCTGCTGCTCATAACTCACACCGAGCCTCATTTCCCTCTCAGTCCAAGACTCACCATTCCTACATAGTGTCAATTCTAATCCTTCTCTTCAACTCACTGTCTCTATAATCTCCTACAATCCCTTGACTCTCTGAGATCTCTGTGCTCCACTAATTCTGGCCTTTTGAAAAGCTGTGCCTGGGCTCCGAGATCAGGAATTCCCTCCCTAAACCTTTCTGTCTCTCCACTTCTGCTTTCTCCTATCAGTCACCTTAAAGCCCATCTCTTTGTGCTTTCGATCACTTCCTTAATTCTTATTTTATGGCTCATCAAAGAAAGTTTTCATCAAAGTTTGCTTGATAATCATTCCTGTGAAGTGTTTTCAGGGTTTTACTATGTTGAGTCAATACAAATTCTAACTTGTTGTTGTTATATGCTATGTTGGAGTGTTGTCTGTTTAGTTAGGCTCTTTCTATCAGTCTGTGCAGGTACATATGTGCATCAGTGCCTGAATCCATGGCAGCTCTATCTGTGCATGTATGTGTATGTGTCTGTGTGTGTACGTGTGTCTGATTTTCTTATATGTTAAACTTTGTGCATTCTGGATTGTCTGTTTCCTGAGCTTATTTTTAAAATTTGATTTGATTAATTATTGTCACATATGCCCCAGGTACAGTGAAAAGTTTGTTTTGTGTGTTGTACAGGCAGATCATACCATACAAAGTGCATTAGGGTAACAGTCTACATATGCCTGTATTGCTGTATGTGCAGGATTTTAGGCATAAATCTTTGAGTTTGGCTGCATCAATCTCTCATTACGCCTTTTCCCAGTTTACTCAAAAGTTTAGTGCGTCCTGTGTTCTGATGTCTGTGCAGTTCTCTATATTGCCTGTCTGCTCCTACATCTGCTTAGTGAGTTAGCTATCACAATCGGGAGTCATATATCCTATGGAAGAGGATTGGTGACGTAGTGAGTACTGCAGACTGTGGCATTGCATTTCAAAGAGAAATGGAAAGATGAGCTAGTGGGAAAAATTGTGGCAGATGGATTTTATTGCTGGAAAATGTGAGATCATCTACTTTGTAGCAAAAGGGTCAGACCGGGTGTTATTTAAATGGTGAAATAGTGGAAAGCTGAAGAGATTTAGGGAACCAGGTGCAGAACAGAGCACTAAATCAGAGTGGGCAGGCAGCAAATCTAAACCAAAATGATAAACTGAATGGCCATTTCCCTGTGTGTATGTCTGACTCTGTGTATCTCTCTATGACTCTGTTTCTATGACCATGCATATGTATCTGTGTGTGTGTGCGTGTGTGTGTGTGTGTGTGTATGCGTGTGTTTTTCACTCTGATTTTCTGTCTATTTTTCTATATGTTTTAAGCTGTTTATTTCTGTATCTTTGAATTTTTCTATGTATGTGTTTGAGTCTGTGACCATGTATCTCTGTGTGTGCGTCTGTTGTTTTCTATATCTGTATATTTATGTGTATTCTGTTTCGCTGTCAGTTTCTCTCTCCGTGTCTGCCTCTTTGTTTCCATGTCTGTACCTCTCCATGTGTCTGTATGAGCCTATGTATGTATAGCTGAACTGATTGGAAGCTGTACTGTCCCCTTTATCCCCTTGCTTAACAGGAATCTATCTAACTTTGCCTTAAATCAATTCAAGGAATCTTCTTCTCCCACCTTTTCAAGACAACAGTTCCAAACACTCATCAGACAGGAAGAGAAAAAGAATGTTTAATCATTGTTTTAAATGTGTGATCCCTAGATTATAGAATCCCTACAGTGTGGAAGCAGGCTGTTCAGCCCATCAAGTCCATACCAACCCTCTGAAGAGCATCCCACCCAGATCCAACCCCGTTAACTCTGTATAATCCATGGCTAACCCACCTAGACTGCACATCCCTGGACACTATGGTGAATGTAGCATGGGCAATGCATCTAACATGCACATCTTTGAACTGCAGGAGGAAACTCCATGCAGACAGAGGGAGAATGTGCAAACTCCCCACAGATAGTCACCCAAGGGTGGAATCAAACCGGGACCCTGGTGCTGTGAGTTAATGGTGCTAACCACTGAGTCACCACACTGCCCCTAGTTCTAGAGTCTCCCATAAGAGGGAACATAACAGGGGTGGCCGGATGGGATGCTCTTCCAAGGGTTGGTGTGGACTCGATGGGCCGAATGGCCTGATTCCACGCCGTACGCATTCTATTCTTTCCACACTTACTATTTAATGACTGCTCAGGATCTTCTATGATTCAATGAAGTCACCTCTTACTGTTTTAAATTCCAGCAGATGCAAACCTAGTCTGTCCAACCTTTCCTCACAAGACAACCCAATCATTCTAAATATTAGTTTGGTAAATCAGCTCTGAACTGCTTCCAAACCATGCACCTTTTCACTGAATTAAGGGACCAGTATTGAGTACGGTAGCGATCTCACCACTGCCCTGTATAACTGAGGCATAAGTTTCTTTCTTTTGTATCCGATTTCCCCTCATGAGAAATGGTACAATATTAGCTTTCTGAATTATTTGCTGTATCTGCTGACTAACATTTTGTCTATGAATGTGTCTGTTTGTTTCTGTGTATGTAGGTCTGTCTGTGAGTGTATGTCTCTCAAAGTCTGTTGTTTCCATATCTGTGTATCTCTCTGTGAATTTATTTTTCTGTGCACGACTGACTGCTTCTTTGAATGTGTGTCTTTTTGTCCTTCTGCGTCTGTGTATGTCTCTATGTACATGTCCCCTTCTGTGAATGTGTCTGAGTTTGCCTGTTTCTGGTTTTGTGCAGTTCTAACATGATTTCTTGGATCAGCATATTCTGAACACTTCCCTATTTGTTAGCTTACCTAAAATATACCTCAAAGATTAGGTTCTTGTTGAGACAGATGTCTTGAAGTTTATTAACACCAATTATTATTTGCATTCCTTTAATATCACTGATGTACACTAGGTTCTGTGTGTACTGATGCTCCTATATATTACATGAAGCTCACTGACTGAAAAACACAGTAGTTCCATTGTTCTGATAGCATAACTGAATGTGAGGCAAGTGCCTCTGTACTGAATGTCATATGTTATGTAACCATCTTAAGAGTACACTGACTGTCTATGCTAGACAACATTCCCCACTTCCTTCTGTAAGAAAAGGAAACCCTTTCTGATAATATGATGAGGATGCACAGTTATATATTTTCTATCAATGATTAGATAATGGTTTGTTCGACATATGACACAACCACATCTAGAGCTTAATTAGTTAACATATGTTAAGGTCATAAGACAATGGAGCAGAAGTATGCCATTCAGCCCTTCAAGTCTGCTTCACCATTCAATAAAATCATGACTGATCTGATAATCCTCAACTACACTTTCCTGCCTTTTTCACACACCCCTCTATTCCCTTACTGATTAAAAATCTGTCTGCCTCAGCTTTGAGTATACTTAATAACTCTGTCTTGGTAGTCCTCTGTGGTAAAGAATTCCACAAATTAATCACCTACTGAGTTAAGAAATTCCTCCTCATCTCTGACTTAAATATGCAACCTCTTATGCCCTTTGTTTCTGAACTCTCCCACAAAGGGAAGCAACATTTCTGCACCTATCCTGTCTTGCAGTCATAGAGGCATAGAGCTGTACAGCATGGAAACAGACCCTTCGGTCCAATTTGTCCATGCAGACCAGATGTCCTAAATTAATCTAGTTCCATTTGCCAGCATTTGGACAATATCCCTCTAAACCCTTCCTATTTATATACCCATCCAGATGCCTTTTAAATGTTGCAATTGTACCAGCCTCGACCACTTCCTCTGGCAGCTCATTCCGTACATGCGCCACCCTCTGTGTGAAAAAGTTGCCCGTTAGGTCCCTTTTGAATCTTTCCCCTGTCACCTTAAGCCTATACCTGCTAGTTTTGGACTCCTCTACCC